GTCTCACCACTGAACATCTGAGACCAGTTTGGTTTTTGAGTCACAGCAACCTTGTTGGAAACTGTTTACATCAAATTTGAACAAAATTAGCCAAATTAGTTGAGAAGATTTGATTTAGTAGATTTAGTTGCTCATAGTTTTCTTTAACAAACTCACAGGTTATAACAACATTGATCCAAGAGCTTGGATGTGTATTGAAGTCTGTGTTTCCTCTCACTCCATAACAACTGTAGATTCCTCCTTGTCTCACAGCGATTTCTCTGTTTTCCTCATTATTTGTTCCGACTTCAACTCCAGGGGTGTTTGAGGTCTTTCTATACCATCTGTACCTCCATCCAGTAGAGGGCTCCACAGTACAGCTCATTGTCACACTTCCCCCTACTGGAATGGTTGATGGACCTACTGTGAGTTTGGCTCTGGGTTCATGTGCTGATATGATAAACAGAAAAGAAGTTGATTTTATACAAAAAACATAAAAAATTAATACTGAAATATGATTTCATTGTTATAAAAATATTAAAGAATAAAATTATTATAATTCATTATTTTTCAAAATAGGTAACATGAATTAGTGAGGTAGTTTGTTATTGTTTTATACATTATAAAAAGTAAATTTTTAGTTGTCAGGGTTTGGTTGAGGTTTGAGGACCCAGACGCAGAGGCAGAGAGGCTGAGTAGATTTTTTGCAGTTTAATGGGAAAAAACAGTAAACAAAGGCAGGAATCCAAAAAACCAACTAATAATGTAAACCCAACCACAACCATGGAGACATCAGGGGAAAATAATCATGAGGAGCCAGGGAGAGACAAGGTAGGATGAAAACAGCCGCTCTGTTTGAAATCCTGGGCTGCATCCTCCAAGTACGCGGTCTACCTAGACTGGATCCTTCGAAGTCCGTGAAAATAAGAGTTTTGGCTGTGAATTCGAACAGGTCTACCCTTCAGCGGGTTTTACCGCCATATGCTCTGTTGCTTAGCAACCGTGAAAGTTGACACACAAAGCAGGAAAATAATGAAAACTGAAGTTTTGAAAACTGTTTTTTTCTTTTTTTATTATAAAGTGAACAAAGACTACACTCACAAGAATCCAGAGTGGAATATAGGTGTCAACCACCGGAAGCAGGAACAAATAAAATCAAATGTAATGATAGAAACCTTAGTCAGTTAAATAACCTGCTGCTGTCATTTTGCACATCTCTGATGTTGCTGCTATTTTCAAATATCCATTACTGTAGAAATGTCCATAGCTGGATATTGGTTATTTATTCTCCAGTTTTATATTGTTAAAACACTTTACATAATTGTATTGAACATATTTTGACTTTTCCCTATGATGCTATTCTTATACATTTTTCTAAGGTCCACATTTGTGTAAATTTGCCCATTGTGGGACAATAAAGGGATTTTCTATTCTATGAAAAGGGGAGAAATATATAAGTAAATCTAAACAATGTATACAGCTGCAAAATCTCTAATATTCAACAACAAAAAATTATTAGTTAAGCATAATGTGCAAAACAGCAACAACAAAAAAATGTTTACTCCTATCCTATTATAGTCCCCGCACTGCAGATCTATTAGAATCTGTCCTTAAATTACAGCCAAACTCATTTACACAGTAAGAGATAAAAACCTTTAGATAAACCAAACATTACCGCAGCTTATCTGACTCAATAACCATTAAAACAACTATTTTCCTTCATTTCAGACGTAACAATTCACAGACTTGTATCATATTAAACTGAACTTCCAATTTTCACTACTGTTCGTGAGCAAATCACGGCTTGCTTGGTCTCGCAATGAATCCTGGGTAAACCAAGGATACCGAGGATACATCCGACCCGTCCTTCAAATCGGGCAAAAAGAAGGATGCATTTTAAGGTTGCATAACGAGGACTCTTGGAATCCGACCAGACCTCCGCGCCGCGCTATGACATAATCGTCCTTCGAATCTGGCCTTCTAAGGACGCAGCCCAGGATTTTAAACAGAGCAAGCATTGAGATCCAGCAACGACAAGGAACCAACAAAGAGTGACAGCAGAGGGAGAGAATATGTAGCTGACTGAGACAAAGGCAGGGCTAACGAGCTGACGAGGAGCAGGTGTGAGAGGAGACAACGAGTAAGCCAAGGGGAAAGGAACACACACAAGAGGGAAAAATAGGACAACGCAGAAAAACCTGAGAACTAACATAAATCTAGAAATTACAACAAAATAGGAATTACACCAATAAAACTAGAAAAGAAGGAGCAAAGTAAAGCACAACAGAACCAAGACCATGACATTAGTTCTTAATAATTCCTTTATTTCTCATGTTAAACTTGATTATATTCCAACAGACAACCAAGAGCCAATTTTTTTTTTTTCTGTTATTTTTCTGAACTAATAATAATAATAATAATTATTATTATTATAAATTAAGTTGTGTTTTTAAATACTG